ACACACAACGATGATCGGTATTGCCCTCTGATCGAAATCTCACGCTTTTCGCTGGTTGTAGTAGCATTTGTAGTGGTAGTGGCATCTGCTCGCAGGTTTAATCAGAATTTCTCCTTCGTTAAGAGAAGTCCCGAGTCATCTCCTAATCTTCAGGCAGACTACGACCAGTTTGCAATTTGTTTCATCACCGCAGTATTCAGTGACCTTAATTATACTATGCAATTTTAATTTGTTAATGGGCAGACTAATAGGTGTGAAGTTGCGTTAGGTACAGTAGTCATTCGTGAATCGAATTAAACGAATCTAAATCAAAATTAACAAGTTAGGAAATATATACTAACGTAGCTTAACAGTCGGGTCTACAGTGCGTTCGTTGTTATTTCTTACAGATTTTCAGTAAGAAGAAGCGGATTTTTTCATGTTAACTTATTTGAGCAGAATATTTTTTACATACGCGCCAAAACTTAAAATTTAACTTACCGGCACGGCAACCAAAATTTGTTAGCGTCATTTCCTTTTCACTGGTGTTCACAGGCTTGCCGCCATGACAGTTGTAAGTAGAGGCACGTGATTAAGTCTATATCGCACCGCGTGCTGTTTGAAACATGGGAATGGCTTTGTGTTTTTATAGGCTACTTGTGACAGAGATTAGTGGTTATCTAGTCTGTAAACGCTCTGAAGCCTAGCTAAAAATCAAAACGGGGAGGTTGCCTAACGACAAGTTCTGATGATAGTTCCGTTTGTCGCCACATATCCATGCTTGAGTTGTGAAATAGGCTATAAATGTTTATAATTTGAACTGCGCTTTGTTGCTGAAGAAGGTAAAAGGAACTCAATACTTGAATAAAGATGTAGCCATAAAGAAGTTTGCTGTTTTTTATATATTAGCCGTGGAAACAACGAATATTAGGTGTATCTTCAATGGAACAATTCAGTTTGGCATTAGGTATGTCCTACAGTGACTTTCATTAACGAATGTGGCGTTTTGAGGTATAGCGGCTAAATAAGATTGTTTTGAGAGATATAGTTAAAAAATTATTTTTTTAAAGGGACAACGGTGTAATGAGAGGTGCTTCTTCAATGAATGGTATGCATAATGGAGTTCAAGTGTGCTTGCTGGCCGTATACTTCCACAGTGCTATCTGCTGGGCTGAACATAGCCATCAGTGAGTGTTTGTTCCAATCATAAACTGCATAACAATTACAAATTTTCAACATTGCGTCGCTTCGAAAGATATTTTAAGTAGGCCCAATATGAATATACAGGCACAGAGAACGTTTCACGTGATGAAATACAAATAAATGAACTTTCATGTTAAATCAAGACCAAACCAAAAGCAGATTTTCGATTAAAGGAGTATTTGTTAAAGCGGATATTTTTTGTAAAACCTCTTCCATGACACAGTTCTTGTTACTCTACTGCTGTATTAGCTCTCAGACACAACAAGGGGCAACTGCCCCATTCATCCACGCACACGGCGTCGCTGTCTCTCTCTCTCTCGCTCTCTCTCTCCATTGATATTTGCTGATTCGTTGTCGCTAGCAGAGCCTTGATCAAACGTGGGCGTGTGGCGCAGTGAATTTACGGGCGTGCGTCGAAATTTTAACGAGTCGCAGGGGTCACATAACGATCTGTGATAGGATGGGCGCTTTTATTTATACATGAATAAGAAACATCTGCTGATTGCAGGTTCCGTTCTGTTGAATGCGTGTACGGTTAGGTCTGGGTTCCGAAATGTTGAAAGTCTCTGAGGCTTAACGCATATGCATGCCATGTTGGCGAACATCAATAGATGGACCCACATAAGAATGCCACACAGGGAAACGTCGGAATTTTTATTGGCTCCCAAACGATCTTTTCCGAGCAGATGTTTAACACCGTGACCTCATCGGAGACAACGTGCTAAAATAAAAAGGACGAGCCAAAGAGCACAAATGGGCAAACAAAATACAAGCAACTCTCGGTTTACGAACTTTCGATTTACGAACTTTCGCTATAACGAACGTCACAATTCATACAAAATTTCTTAAAGTTGCCAATAGATAGTGTTCCTTATAAAACGAAATGCCAAACGTATAGTTAACATAATTGTAAGAATTAAATAAATAAACTTTTAAAAATGTATTTATTACAATAATAGCCAGTAAAAAAATCGTTGGTTTAAATGCCACGCCGCGTAGAACGTTTTCTCGTGGGAAAGAAATCGATGATTCCCCCTATTATAATATAATAGGATCATTACTTGCTTGCGATGTTTAGTACATGGTTTTAATGCTTCAAAATGGCTGCTAATTTATGCGATACGAATCGTAAAAGCTCAGAAATGCAAAATACACATAATTGTAAGAATTAAATAAATAAACTCATTCGTAAACCGAGAGTTGCCTGTATCTGGAGACATTGTGCCTATCTGCTTCTTCCTGAGTTCTGGACAACTTCCTCCTTTAGGTCCACGTACCTGACAACTTATTTCGTCGGATATCATGAAAAAATATTCGTACGTGACCTCGCCGTACTGGTACGTGTCAGCACATTAAAGAAGGAAATGGGGTTTGTGCAAAGTTAGTCCTGTAGATACATTTATCAATTTCACCATACTGTTAGATTTCACGTCTGACTGCGGTACTTGAACAGTATTGGTCATAAAATCGGAAAGCTTTGGATTGATTGCAGTTTTATTATTTTCCAGTTAGAGGAAAATGATTTATTAAATATCTATGCTTTACGTTCGTTCAACTTTGTTGGATGTATTTTCCCTTGTTGTTTGAGGCCTATAGGTAATTCCTAAAATTTCCCCGCGTAAATTCGTAAGAAATGCAAGTTTCTGTTTAATTACTGCTCTTAATATCTTTTACTCATTCAAATTTGTCATATATAATGTTCCTCGGCAGATGTGCCCGCGACATTTTGAACACAAATGGTTTTCTGTCTAACAATAGTTTAACGACCCGTGCTGCTGATTTGTAGTTAAGTTGTTATTCTCCCGATATTTTGTTTGGGAATTTGTGTTTTAACCTCACTTTTGTCTCGCGGGACATAACGAAGAACGTGCATAAGTATATGTACGCGCACACATAATTCTATATGCCTGCACAGAGAGTATAAATACAATTGTTATTATAGTCCATCTACTGACAACACATATTCTATTCTGTCAATAGTAAATCTCATTTTAAAGTCGTTGGTACATAATCAGTAACATTTTTTATCTTAATAGGTGAACATTAAAATATGAGAATGTTACTACAGTGAAATACTATAGAAAAATATACAGAGTAAAACATATCAAGTGAATAGCATATAGGCTGTATTATGTCTGTTTAATTAATGATTAACCGGAGGAAACTAATTAGTTAATAGATAAATATTAAAATATATACGCATAGATTTTTGTAATAATTAACTTATATACTTTTATTAAAAGTTGTAAAACTAAGATCAGATTAATATTATTACCAACATATATTATATTCCCATATGAAATAATGTTCTGGAACCATGAAAATTTATATTAATTATACTTCCTAATAATCAGTTTAGACAGCAGTTTCCTAATTTGGCTCTAGCTTAATTCGAGAGCTGCAAATTTTCGAGACACTCAATCTTTTCTGACATCTGCCATGACAAAGAAAAAATCGGCTTCTGCTAATGGGTGTACTCAGCGCTTAACGTCTCTTCATACGTTAGAATCCCGTTTCTCTAATTTATTTTCAGCCCAGTAATTTATCACCCGATCATCCAGCTGTTGCAAGACTGCACACGAAATATCTCTTGCCCCATTACAAAACGTCTTAAAACGTATTACAGGCCTGCGTATTTCTTAGTCCCGAATCCTGTAACAAATATAGGCCTGTTTCCTTTTGTTTGTTAATTTCCAAGACAACACACAAAATTCAGTTTTTAGGAAGTTAGAAACTTTTAACACAAAGTGTCAAGATAGATGTCACTTCTATGTCACGAGAATTATATAGTCCACAAGGCTGGAGAAATCCAGTCGATATATTCCGTTCGTAGCATGGAAAGGATTAAATATTTACAATTTAAATCAGATCAAATTTAATTAAGCGCCGAATGATTAATAAATAACTACATGTATTTCAATAGTTTTGTTAGTATTTTTTTTTTAATTGTCTCCTGCACTCCTTTAGAACTATATCAGTTTAAACCGAAAAAGGATGCATGCAGATTTCCATTTCATCAGCCGTCTCGTATTATCATTCTGCCAGGTGGACTACATTAACTATTTTTCTGAAAGTTCGTATATTCTACCAACTTATACTTATTCCGCAAACGAGTGGAATGTCTTCTGGGATTATGTTTCCTGCAGTCTGGTAGAAGCCTGCCGACGTTTCAGAGGTGTTTACCACCTCCATCATCTGGGCGATCGCTGTGAAGCATGAGTGCTTATTATTCGACAGCGACGTTTGGTGGGAGATATAATTTTTGACCTCTGTTGGGTTCTTCTTCTTCTTAAAGTGCCTATTCGTTCCGGATGTTGGCGATCAGCATAGCAATTTGAGCTTTACTGGTTGCTACTTGAAACAGCCCTCCAGTGGACATCGAGAACCAAGTTTTTAGGTTCTGAAGCCAGGCGATTCTTGGCCTGCCAGGTCCCATCTTTAAACAGGATTCGATTATTGTCATCCAGATTTTTACCTGCTCACCATTTATATTTCAACTGCATTTGACTTGATCTAATATCGACAGCTGAAACACAGTTTCTAATTAACCTGGAAATTATTTACTGCCGGTAAAAATCGTATTGGCTGTTTGTTGTGGTCAGGGAAAACAGTGTTCTGTTCTGAAATCGTTCCGAATCAGTTAATATTTGGAACGACAAATATTACACCAACAACAAAATTCATTATGGAAATTTTAATTGTGACTGCGGTTGAATTTACTGGTCGACGTATTTATCCGGAATAAATAAAAGTTCATACTTCAGAGAATGCAAAATATATTTCAAATGTAAACGACTACATAAAACATGATAATTTACCGTTTCATTGAAGGGCATTTGTTTTTGTTTGTAGAGGAGGGTCGTGTTTTCCTCCAGTTGTGATTCTCAGGATAATTCTGCCATCCGAAGCGTCGATTCCGTTCTGCTGCAGGCAAGGATGTTTCCACGATTGTGGGTGCTTGGATAGCCTTGTTGACACGGAAATTACCCAGGACCTTGAATATACACACAGAAATTTCCATTCAACATTATATAAAAAGTCCACTCGACAGGTTGACCATATCGTGTAACAAAGAAATGTTTCCTGATGTCAACAGCAGCTAAAAGTTCTCTTTATGGCATGTATTTTCGGGACTTTATTTTAAGCAAGCAGGTGCGTCGGGAATGGAGCTAATCAGCCAGCGAATATACAGTTTTATGTAATTTCATCTAAAACTGTTAGGATGATTACATCAACAGATAGGTGATCGGGACATTTTCGCACACGTGAGGAACTGAGGAATGCGTATATCATTTTGATAAGAAAGCTTCAAGAGAAAAGTAGTCTAACCGTATTTGGAAATATGGTTATTATTAATATATTAACATGTGTCCTGGGGTGTGAAGGTGCGCAAAGGATTAAACTGTCTTAAGATAAGGTCCAACCTGCGATGAAATTTCCATAAGAACTGGAAATTTCTTAATATACATACATATATTCCATGGATCCATAACACAGTCAGATGACAATAGGACGTGGAAAAAGTCGTAATAATAATACAATACGTATTATAAAGTACAATTTATACTATTATATAAATTTCACATAATACAACAAAGGGTTCACCTAAAGTAATGATAAGTTATAAATAAATCTGCCCATTATATACCGAAGATAAATTATCACTTATTTGTGAACAATAGAAATTCATCTACAGAGTAAAGGAGTGTGTAATTAAGTATCCTTTTAATGCTACATTAAATTGCGCCGTTTTATTCACAGGACTTGTGAGACTTGATGGTAGACTGTTGAAAATTTTGATAGCTGTATAACTATCAAGTTTTCATAGAACACTTTGCACTATGGAGATAATTCTAAGCAAGGTGTGACTCTGCGGACAGCAACAGTAACAATTCATTAGAGAAAATTTCTAGAGTTTATTAATGGCGGAAATTAGTTTCGAAATTTTTACACTGAAGCCTGTTATTAAGGTTCTGTCCCGAAATATGCCTGGAGGGACTGTAGAAAACCACGGAAGATCCCTGTGAGTTCGGTTATGTTAAGTGACTTTAAAATATTAATGATGCATGCACTGAAAGCATCCATTCTGCATTACTTAACATGCTATTAAAATGACGTGTTTTTTTTATAATTTCTCAGGGAATCTTGCCCTTCTCCTCTGACTGGTCCGTAGGTATTGCTTCCCTAACATAATCCTTTCAATCACAGAGGCTACCGAGCCCTCCCAACATGACAAGGAGGTAATTTCAAAGATAATAAACTGAATACATTTCAATATACGTGCAGCACAAACTAGGTGAGTAACAGTTATAATTCTGTAAAGATATAGCAGTTCTGATATTAACTTATGGGCTTGGAAACTTTGGCCCTCGATACATGAGATGAGCAGATGTGCAGATGAAGAGCTTTTGACTGACTATATACCTCTTCTCAAAACATTTCTACTCATATTTCTGTACAGTAGAACATACACTTCAATGTCCAGCCACTTTTATTCGGTATCATTATTACTATACCTTTTCTGTTTCTTCCTTTTGTTCTTCCAGAGGTGTTTACATCTCAGTTAATTCTCGACAGTGACGGCAGTAAAATCAGATTTCTCCTTGTTTGTATCTCCAAGGAGTTCGTCCGTTTTAATTTTAATTTCTCTATTTTCGTTCTTCAATTGCCAAATTTTCTAATTTTCCGTGTATTCAAGAAAGTGATATCAACAGACACTCCAATTCATTTTTCCCCTTTTTTATTAAATTAAATTTTATAAATTGGAAATTAGTTTCCTGGGCAGAGTTTGTACATTTGGATTATTTGAAATCTTGACATTCATTTTACTCATATTCAATTCATATATTAAGTGTGTAAATATTGAAATAACTTAAACTTTGCCTTATCTACCATTATACAACATTTATTTTACTAAATAGGATTAAATTATAATACGAACATCATACAAATGATATTGATTGAATGCGAAGTTTTCATAAAATTCACTACTTGATGTTCGCTAGTCAGTCCTACATTCACATTTAAATCCACAGCACGAAGAATGTACCTTATGTATACACTGAAGATGACTGCCGTGTCCTATCACCCATTAGAACTTCGTTCAGGAACTCCTCATCCTCCTCTTTGACCAAACAACATTTTCCTGTCTGTCCAGACATTTACTTCATCTTTAGGTAATCCCACAAACCAGACTTTATCAGCAGCAGTCAACACGTTTTCAGCAAAAGAAATCTCCTTTCCCATTGTCTCTGCAAATTAATATCTTTATGATGGAGAAATCAGAAGCACCAACCTTCAAATGTCTTCCCTAAATCATAAAATTAGGCATTCTGTGCTAAGAGACTTCGATTTAGACGTAATTGTTGGATTAACACCAAGAAAAAACAAACATTACATAACCTTAAAATCCAAATGGCTACCTATAAGCACCAGCTGCTTCAACAGTAAGTAATGGTACATTTTGTATTTATAGGTTCCATACGATTCTTAGTGAAATTGGCGATTATTTCCTTAATCAGCATTAACAGGTTGATCTTTGTAATTGTGAAATGTGTTTTATTTGCAGTAGGGACTTCATTCTAAAATATTATTTACGCAAACTTCAGATCCAAATTGTTAAACTAAGTATATGTCGATGTCTCATCGCCAGAATGAAGGGAGAAATCATACCATAAACACAGCTGATGGATCCTTTGAAAATGTAGCAAAGTTAAAATATTAGGGAGCAACAGTAACAAATCAAAATTTTATTTATGAGGAAATTAAGAGCAGATTAAATTTGGGTTATGTCTGCTACCATTCAGTTCAGAACCTTTTGTTTTTTTTTCCATCTGCTATCTAAAAATTTAAACATTAAAATATAAAAAACTATAATTTTTCCTGTAGTTTTGTATGGCTGTGAAACTTGATCTCTGGCACTGAGGGAGGAATGTAGACTGAGGGTGTTTGAAAACAGGGTGCTGAGGACAATATTTGGACCCAAGAGAGATGAACTATTAGGAAGTTGGAGAAAGTTGCGTAATGAGGATCTTCATAGTCGTACTAGTATCCAAATATAATTAGAATGACCAAGTCAAGGAGGATCAGATGGGCAGGGCATGCAGCCTGCATAGAAAAGAAGAGAAATACATACAGAGTTTAAATGGGCAAACCAGAAGGAAAGGGGCCACACGTAAGACCTAGACGTAGGTGGGAGGACAATATTAAGATGGATCAAAGAGAAATTGGATGGGGTGTTATGAACTGGATCCATGTGGCTCAGGATAAGGACCAGTGGCGGGCTCTCGTGAACACGGTATTGAACCGCCAGGTTTCATAAAATGTCGGGAATTTCTTTAGTGGATTAGTGACTGTTGGCATCTCAGAAGGACTTGGCTCCATGGAGGAAGAAAGCGAGAAAGTAAGGAAGAACGGCTGCAACATTTATTTTTTATTTGCGTGCTCACGGGCCGCCGGGGGGGGGGGGGGGCACACACACACACACACACACACACAGAGATTGCTCTCTCTCTCTCTCTCTATTACGTCAAAGTAGAATAGTAGTTACGCGTCTTACCGACTTGATTCCGATGCCATGCTATTCTGGTTCATCTATTATGTTACGGGGGCGCTGATGTTCATAGATGGTAGGACAGTCGGAGTGAAGTGACACGACAAATAACGATGTCATATATTTTCTACAACCCAGTAACCGAGAATTATATAGATATGCACGAAGCGGTCTTCTCAGCATCATTCTTGCTTATTCTTAGACGGCATTGTGCTCGAGCATATGTCGCATCTATGAAGTGCATGTATAAACAAGAAGGTATAGAATTTCTGTTCGCAATTCTAATATGCGTCATCTGTTGTTTGCTTTGTGAACTTTTATTATTAACTCGAGCTGATTGTTGCTGCCATCTGCTGTGAAAACCATAAAAAACTTTAAAACATTGAAATCTACTTGGCTTTGGCTACATGGGAAAACAAATCAATAATAAATCGCAGGAATTGGTTGGGTATTCTTTTTTGGGTTTGTATTTTGTTACATGACCATTGATTTTATTATAGTAACACCGAATTCAGCTGCATGTAACTTTTTTGCCAATGTGTTATCAAATGTTATCACATAAATTATTTGTACCTTACCTGGTAGTCATGGGAAATTCTAAGGTGCATACTGCTGATATAACTTGTAGTAAACTTTACAAGGTAAAGTCAGAATTTGACAAGACCTGCTATCTTAAAAGAATAACATACGACTAAAAACGTGATGTTCACGTGGTAAAGGTTGTAAGCTGGCAAGGGCAAGGCAGAGGAGAAGTAGGGGTACCTGTGGATCAATACGATCATATGGGGCTAGGTTTTGAATAACCCCTTTGTCGGAGGGGTGCGGGCGGTAAGTATGGTGCAGCACGGTAACTGAACGCATCCAGGAGCGCGTGCATGGTCCGAAAGAAAATGGCACTAAACGCGGGTTGGGCGATGTGTCTATAGCAGGTTTAGAATTAGTGCCGGTTGCTGAATAGTAAGTGGTAATTGTATATGAAACTAAGAATGAATCATTACGTGTGTTTATTGAAATTCCATAGTATCATAATTGGATTGGATTGTTTTTAAGTGCAAGGTTTGTCAGTCTGTGATCGAAGGTGTCAAAATAGCAACAATAATCCAAGATGTCTGTCAATGTAAGTGATTTATATGCAGTCATATTTGCTTCCAGTAATTGTTGTCAACGTTAGAAATGTCTTAAATCGGCCATTTGAATTGGTGATAATTTATATCATACATTTCAGATTGATTTTATTATAAATAAAAGCCGCTAGAAGGTACATCCTAACCTGGTCCATGCATCTGCCTAGCAGCGAAAAAATAATTATGTTACACCTAAAATAAATTTCTGGAAGGAAATTGTAACTTTATTTGGGTTGTTTAACTTTTCACAATTAAACGTGATTTAAGGCATTGTATTGGACCATTCCTATTGTGTATATTTATACTTACAAACCTACA